GACACCGATGATCTGTTTTTCTGCATGTCAAAAACATCCAAAGACAAACTAGGAACAAGATGCACCACAATGGTCCCTTAGAAAATGCAACTCGTACAAGTTAGGAAGCCCAGGTCCACCCCTCAGGCAGAAGCTGCAGGCCAGGAGAGGGGCGGATGGTTCCCAGGATGAACAGGGCTAATGGTAGCTGGGAGCTGGCTGGCACTAGCTCACGACAGCAACCCCCCTATTCTTAATTTATTTCCTTTCTTCCTTCCCACCTTCCTTCTTTGCGAGAGCCAGTTTACCAGCACACTACTAGTGCATAGATAAGCATTTGACTGCTAAATGTTTATCTATGAGCCCTAAAGCACATTTTACCCTCATCTGTTCTAAACCATTTGAATAAAGGTCACTGAGCAACTGAGAAAAGACTCTTCGAGTTGGAAGTGGACTGGTTGGGGACCATGGGACTCAAAGACCCCCCCAATGGCAAGCTCCCATTTTTTTGTTTCTCTGTCTTTTAGTATCTTGGCCCAGGCTCTGACGAGGCCACAAGCTCCACACATCAACAAACCACCTTAAAAACCCCAGCATGGGGACTGTCTTCCAGAGCTTGGTCGAATGGGAGATGGACGGACGGTGTAGAGCAACAACGCCCGGTTGTGGCTCACGGTGGAACTGTGCTGGCATAGACCCCCGCCCCCCCCACCTGCAGTGTCCACAGCGATGTGTCACTGGAAAAGCTGACGGTGCTACAAGTGCACTCACACCCCAGGGGGATGACTGACAGTTTGACTTTTCTGTTTCGATGGGCTTTTTGCTTTCCTGCCTTTAGGTCGCTTGTTTTGTTTTCTGCTAGGTGGTTGGTTGCTGTTGGTGGGGTAGTTGGTCTTCAGGGGTTCTGAATTGGCTCTAAGATGACCATCAGAGTCGTGCACATCCCAGGGACAAGCAGATGGAGTCTGGGACCCACAGAACCCTCGCCCCAATCCAAGCACAGTCAGTTCTGGCAACGTGGTGCTGCTCCATGCTGACCTTCATGAAATATCACTGAAGATAAGGGCGCTACAGCAAAGTGTGGTGAAGAAAGGAGATGGTGCCTGGCTACCAATCGGACTCGTGTCTGGGGTCTTAAAGGCATGTATTCAAACCAGGAGCTATTTAATTGAGGAGTCAACTAAGTCCATCCGGAAGAAGCACACCAGCTTGTGTGATCCAAAGACGACAGTAACAAAATTCAAATATGACAAAGAGCAAAGTATCAGAGCCTAAATTACAAACACCCACTTTGTAGAAGGCTGTGGAGGGCATGGGGGCCCCAAACCCATCTGCAGAGTGTCTAGTCAGATTAAGCCTCTGGCAGATCCCCTCTAGCCACAGGCGAAGTCTGGGACAGCTTTCCTCTCGGACAGAGATCCTTGTAATTGTAACTATACTGGGTTGAACTTGATACTCAGTCAGTTGACCTCCCTCTTGGCCCCACCTGAAATTGTTCTAGATGCAAGTATTTCTTGCTTGTTCCATGACAAAAATTTCCTCCCTGGCATTTTTATTATTCATGACGGTCTTTTCTTTCTTACTCATCATTTATATTTCCATCTATCTATTATTGTTGTTTCATGCTGATCGGCTTATCTTGCTGTCTTTTACCGTTTCTGTTGGGGTTTCCAGCCTGTGAGGCACAGAAGGAGTAGGTACATAGGGGCAAGGACTGCTGCAGGGGCTTATGGTGGGGTGGGGGTGGGGGCGTAAATGGGAAATAGGGAGAGTGAGGGGTTGTGGGAAGGGGGGGGAGTGCTAGAACGGATGGTGATTACACAACTCATTTAAAAAGCGATTTAACCATGGGGTGAAGGGGGGGGTAGTTCTAAAAATTGCTTGTGGCAATGATAGTGCCACTCTTCTTGATACGGTTAAACTGTTGAATTATGTGACCTGTGGGCTAAGTGCCAATAAAACGGGTAAAACAGACCTCCAAACCCAAGAAAGGCCTGCTGTCTTTAGCCCAAGGGCCAGGGAAAGGGTGACCCAGCCAGACAGAAGCATTTTGACCCTAGGTGCCTGCCTTTCTCTAGGTGAGCCTTAGAAAAGGCCCCCTCCTCCCCACTGGACACCACAGCTTAG